CCCCAAAACCCCAAAACCCCAAAACCCCAAAACCCCAAAACCCCAAATGTTGTATAATTAATTGAAAATCTAAATTAATGATTCCATTGAACCTTAACAACTCATTTAACCAAGTGAAAGAAGAATCTGATCTTGATATTGGAGATCTTAAGCTGATCTCGACTGGGTCTCCCACTATGACTATCAAGAGGCCGAATCTAAAACTCACCCTGAAGCACTTAGGAAAGTCGAAAACTAACACTAAATCTGGGTTTAATAAAATTACTTCCAAATACGAAGTTGGCAAAAATATTGGGACTGGCACTTACTCTTCAGTAAAACTTGCCACAGAGAAGGATACAGGCCGGAAGGTGGCCATTAAGGTATCGAAAAGGACCAATTCCAGGGAAATGGCAAAGAAAGAGTACGACACTCTCAAATCCCTTGACCAGAAAACCATAATCCAACCTATTGAATTTATTGAAAATGATCTCAAGGATGAGTCCTACCTAGTATTAGAATATTTTGCAGGAATGACGCTTGATAAGTACATTGAAGAGTATGGGCATCTGAATGAAGATGAGACAGCTAATATTGCTCAGACATTATCCAATTGCTTATCATACCTTCATTCCAAAGGTATAGCACATAGAGACATTAAGCCTCAAAACATTTTAATCAATGATGACAAAGAAATCAAGTTAATAGATTTTAATATTTCCAAGGAAGGGAAATCCAAGTGAACTGATGAGGAGAAGCTGACAAAATTCTCTAGGATCTTCTACACCCAGATCTCCTCCCCTCTCTATGCTGCACCAGAGATCAAAGGAGACAAGCTATACACTGAGAGCGTTGACATCTGGGGTCTCGGAATCATCCTTTTCACGTGATTATTTGGAAAAATGAGTGACTCAAAAGAACCGATCTGCTTCAAAGACAATACCAACAATATAGAAGATCTGATTCAATCGAGTACTTTAGAAAATGCTTGGCTCCAGCAGATGCTCCTGGATTGTCTTAATGATGACCAAGACTTAAGGCCAAGCTCAGAGGAACTCCTTGAGTATTTCTAATAACTTATTATGAATAAATACTTTAATAGAAATTTATTATGAAAAATTGCCTACTAGCTAGCTTTATACTTTCGCACTATCAATTAATGAAGGAGGGGAATTTTGCTGACTTAATCTATCCTCTGAGTTTCAGAATTTTCTTGAAACCCATTTCCTCACGATTTGGGCACATAAATTTTCTTACTAGATGTAAAACAAATTTATTCATTCCCAGATATATTTATTAATGTATGAAATGGGTAAAAACCACTAAAAATTTTAATTCTCTTATCTATAAGGTCCTTCTTGCTAATTTTTACCTAGTACTTTTTGCACCAAGCCAAGATTTCAGAATAATGAGGATTTGTCCATAATCACCTAGAATAGAGTTATGCCCATATTTATTTTCCAAAATTATGAAACGAGATTTTCCAAAAATCACCAATTCGTGTGAAATCAAAGGTCTCACAAAAATGAGTAATTCTAATGGCTTTGACACTAAAATTGCCTATTTTCATCAGAGTTCTTGTCTACACTGTGGAGCTCTAGTGGTGAAATCCAGCACTTAACACTAGTGCTTCGTACAACTTAGGGATCTGGCAAAGGAATATGAACTTCTATATTTTTTATGTTTTGGGAAAATCTAAAATAAAGTCATTATATTCAGAAATAAAACAACAGAGGCTGGACTTGAAAGACCCAGGCTGGTTTTATAGTTGAGAAGACCTAAATTGTATTTCGGAAATTTTATCAATAGTTAATACTAACTGAATAAAAGGTAAGGTCAGTCTAGAAAGCAATCTATGCCTAAAATATGGAAGAAGAAAGATATACTAAGAGATTAGGTTAATATGGGACTTAATGGACTATCCTACTGCCTAAATCTGGCAAATAGAGTATCATCAGTGGCCATAAGAGTTGAAAGAAACTATGCCTCAGACTATCCCAAGAAGATGTAGCTTTACCACCCTTCTGCTAATAACCTGTAAAACTTAGCTGAGCATGAACTTGGGAGAAATTAACAACTTAAGTGGTTGGTATGGGTCCAAGAATACGATATTTAGCCCAGGAATCATTACTATTAAAAATTTCGAAGTTAATCGAGGTAAAACCTAAAAACAGTAGGCCAAATTCTTTCAAAATGATAGAAGAATTACATTAAGGTGAGATCTGGTGGAGTAGGGGAGGCCCTGGACTCAGTCAAATGCTCTTCTAAAATATTGGACAAATCTGGGCTGCCAGATTTGTCCATAAATGGAAAATTTATATATAATTGATCCATTAATCCGATTTTAAAGATGGATCTACTCATAAGCTAAAAATTGAAATCTTAGAAATGATTTCCCTATCAGAGATTTTATAAGTAAGTATAAAGGCTACAAAGCTCTAGTTCTGCTTAAGACTCCTTGAACTCTACCCGAAATGAGCTGAGTTTATTGTTTTGAGATGATAAAACATAGCTGAAACACTTCCAACCATATTTGATAAAATAGGGGTTTTGGGGTTTTGGGGTTTTGGGG